CCCATACTTACAAGACGGCTGTTCTCCACGGTAGCTGTAGCTTTTGTTCTGCTCCAGCAGTAGCATCACCCTGTGAGTTGCTGGATCTAGTTTGATCCTGACAGTTGAAAGTTATAGTAGCGTCACATAAAAGCACAACCTAAACCTGAAACCTCAGGGAGGAGCTTCTATTGTCTGTTCAATTGGCGGTTCCTTAGCTAAAATATTCTAGCTTTTGAGCAAGGTTAAATTGGTTGTCATACACTTCCTGCACTTTGCAGACATGCTCGCTCTCCAGTCAAAACCAATGAAATAGATAATTAATCCAGGTTAATAGCACTGGCAGGGTCTATCACAATACTTAAGTAATGAAACACAGTTGTGCCACCCTTGTGCCTACCATGTCCAACAACCGACATTTTGCACGTAAGGGCATTTCCCATCTGTATAGGTGGAATATTCTTTACTGCTGACTATTATTCTGCATGAATAGCAGAAAGCTAGGTTAGGAAGCACATTTAAATCTTAGTAGGCGTTTTTTTTTTTTCCCCAGAAGTAAAAGATTCACTGAAAGAATATATCCCTTTTTAAAAAGGTGGTTAATTCTGAACAGTTTTGCTTTATCTCTGAGGTATCAGCTATAGTCAGTTCACTCAGGACTCTGTAACAACAGGGAGACACAGAAAAACCAGGACAATACAGAAACCAAGGCCTAATTTTGTGAATCCAATATTAGCAGTTATGATTAACTTTACACGTAAAAGAAATACCATCTCTATTTTCAAGGTAGCTTGCTATTTTTTTAAATAGCATAAATATAATAACAGAAAACACAGCAAGCATGAGAAGCTTTTTGACTTTCCTGCACCCACCCAAGAAAAAAAGTAAGAATGTTTTTATTACATTAAGTTGCGCTGCTATGCTACACTACTGGCATACAGGAGAGGTAAATGAAGACAGACATGAACTGTGTATGAGATAACTTATTTTATTTATTCAATTCTCAACTTAATTTTGATGCTAAAAATTGGTCAAAGGCACTTCAAAGTAGTTATGGAAGCAACAAATCCCTATGCTGATCATTCCAGACAAGTCACCAACTTATACCTGCCATTAGGGACATGACTACCTATAATCGCAAAGTGAAACATTCACAGGTTTTAAGTGGAGCTTACCGTCCAGCAGCAATATTCAATTCTTTTGGAGAATTAATAACATTTGTGGAATACTTTAAATACAATACGTAAAACAAAGCAAATTACACTTCCAGAGTTCCACAGAAGTTCTTGACAGAAAAAGGACAAAATTGCCTTTCCAAGTGGTCCTGTATTGAGGGATCTCTTCTCACCTGTGCATGCACTATCAACATCAGTAGCAGGTACATCAGAGAAATAACCCGGACTTTTCTGTCGTACAGAGATAAAACACCCCGCTCACATAGAAAACTGTTTATAAGAGGTCCATCAGCTACTCACTAAAATGTATACTTCTGGAAGTATAACAGAATAAATGGTAACACATGAAGAAAAAGCAATTTTTAATATACACCCCTGCCAAAGCAAAACACACAACAATGTGTCCTTAAAGGCAAAAGGTTCTGGGAAAACAGCTTCTGTAAAATGAGAGATGGTGCTAACATCACCAGTGTTAGCCTCTTAAATAAGACCAATATAGAGCACAAAAAATAATTAGGAATGAAAGACTAAAATTGGTCTTTTTCTGCAAACAAAAATTAATAATATCCTATGATTAAGAATGGTGATCAGAAGGTAACTTCTTGGCATTCACATTCCTTCTGAACTAAAATACACTTAATACAAGTGTTACTCTGTTACACTAAATGACATTCCCACATCCAAGTGCAAACAATTGCTGTAAAGTAATTTCAAGAGAACTAGCTGAAAAATTTTTAGACAGGTCATTTAAATCACTACAGTGCCAATGGAAGCTTTTAGGTTTTATAAAACTAAGAAACCTCTTCTAGAAACAAAACAAACCCAAACCACAGAGCAATAATCGGTATAGCCCAAGAGAGCCTATGTTGCTGTGCTTCAGAAAGGTCTATCCACCTGAAATGCTTTAGCCTCCTTGGGCTGCAAAAATACTCAAACTGAATAAATACTTTCTCAAAGCACAAAGACCTGAGAGTGAAATAACAAACTACTAATAGTAGTGTAAAATTGTACATGAAAATTATATTAACTGTCCACATTCCAACCTTGCCTACTGAAGTTTTTTAAGGGAGTGAGACACAAACCAATTATTTCAGAGGTATCAGCTCATTGTCATGGTAATACAATTCAACAGAGAACGGTCCTCTGTTATAATCACAGAACATAAAAACCAATACTTTTCTAGCTTGTCTGTAAGGGAAAAAATAATTCTTTGCAGTGCTGTTAGAAAACACAAAAGAAAGATTTAGAGGCCTAAGAACAAGAACACTTTAAAAGAAAGCAAGAATGGATGTTTGAAGAAGAGGCTACTCTTACTTCTACAGATAGGCCACCTATTTATCACCAGGTAGTATGTTCTTAGCCTTAGTCCCTCAAGAAATTGAACTTGTTCCTTTATTTCTCCATTCCCTTTGAGGTCCTGCATGTTTTGTGGAAAGGGACATTCCTGCCCAGCTCTGCTAAACCCACAAGCCACAGCTGGGCAGCAGACAAGAATCAGAACTGCTGCTGAGAAGAGGCTTCACTGCAAGCTCAGCAGTGGCTGGTTTACATTGCCACCTCAGCAACCAACCTACATGGAGCTCAAACATCTCACTACCTGCTTCCTCTTGTCCACCTGAGACTTATGCACAATGAAACTGAAAACCCAAAGACAGTGCAGTCAGGCTAGTAAGGAACATGAAGAGGAAATTATATTATTTCATGGGGCAGCACATAGCAAACGTAGGACACAAATCTGCAGGAAAATATGCAAGATTAGTTCTGCCTGTTGTGGAAGAAAATATTTAAATCCCCATGGATGAACTGAAGAAGCAAGCAGTAATAAAGGAACAGTGCAGCAGCAGAGTAGTTCAGTAGATCTTCTACATGGGCTGAATTTACAAAGAGATCTTGATTTCATTTTCTAACTTCCTTAAGCATCCCAGAATATTTTAATTGCATGTTTGAACAATGCCACTGGAGTTATCAATACGATATGGATTTCACAACATTATTGGCTTGTGTTGCACAGGGGATAAACATTTAGCTCACAGAAAGAAGCACCTCTCAGCATACCACCATCCATTCTCCTCTAGACAAGCATCCCTCTGACCAGAGCAAACTGGAGACTTTTTCCTTTTTTAAACAAATACAGTAATCATTTTCTACTTAAGTCAATTCACATAAAATAAAGCTTGTGCACGTTTCAGCACTTCAGAAGCAGTCTTACTCATAAAAGACCAACAGATTTAACCCTGCAGGAACTATTTGTTTAACTAATACTTGACATATGAACCCAGATTATATTCAGGCAGAGAAGATGTATGTAATATTTCAACTCCATGAGATATTTCAGTAATTGCCGTCATGCTGCAGAGCAATGTTCTGAAAGGAAGTCATGACTCTACTGTTGGACAACAGATAAAACACCAACCTGTACAAGAACTATCTTTGGAAAAAAAAAATCCAGTACTTTATGGTAACATCCTCTTCCAGGAACATCCTGAAGGACAGCAGTAGTAAATCAGGCTGTCCGCTACCAGTATGTGCCCTTTCCAAAACAATGACTGGAGGTAATTAGGTTATGTCCAAATTCATCAATATGATGAAGATGAAAAGTGATAAAAAGATGAAGAAACTTTTGTTCAAGTGTGGAATAAAGACACACTACATGTCAAGCTTAACCCCATCCCCCATACTGCTATTCACTCAATTTGAAAAAACAGAAAACTAGAAAGTTTTACATTAACTATATAAAACATAGGCTTGGCCTCTGAAAATCTTTCAGTAATTAAAATGCCTATTTTGTCCCTCACCAATAAAGTGTTTTCAGTTAAGATGCAGAGATACCAAAGGTAGTGGAGAAAGTTAATGCACTTTGAGAGATTAATTCAGGCTGGCTTACCTGAATAACTATATACTTTAGCTTCAAAAAGACTAAAATAGGATCATTTAACACTTTGTTCTGAAAAAGGTAACAAGAAGCAGATACAGAAGAAACTTTAAAAGTGGAGAAAAAAAATGTTCAGAAAAGTGAAATTAAGTACTTCAGCCAATTGTAGGGAAGCAGTCAAATCAGCTTTGCTGTAGTTTTAAAATAGGACTTGTTTGTATCTGTAAAATTCTAATGAATAAGGTAACTCCACAATCTCAAAGTATAGTGATGTGAAAATTAAATGGAAACAAACCAATTACAATACTGTCTGAAACCAAGTTATCACAATGCCATTGCAACTTTGCTAAGATATTATTATTTCTGGTTTACATGGAAGGTGTGATGTACAGAAGACAGACTTCTATTTCAAAAAGCAACTACCTTATCTTATGCTGAGAAATTCTGAGATGAATTTTTATACCTATTTGACCAATATGATAATACAAGAAAAAGTGCCACAGGCAAATATGTAAGCAGCTTGCAAGACCTCAGCAATTTAAACAATAGTAACTATTTCTGTGTTTCCCCTTAAAACAGTAGCAATCCAACTTCATATTGTTTTGTACAATAGAGACTTAAAAGTTTTTAAAATAATTCAGAGCACTGAATTCCATTTCTGAAACAATTCAGATTAATCTTTTGGGTGGATCTCTGCCTATTCATAATAGCCAGTCTGTTGTTAAGGTAAAGAAGACTTGAGACACTTTTCACACCTCTCCCTTCCTTATAGGGCAAGGTACACACAGTAACTTGAAGATGTCGAGAATACTAGAGAAAGCCATTGTGAAGTTATTTGACTGTGCAGCATCCAATTTCTAATATTAGAACTGACCTACCAGAACATCTGGAAAGAAATAGAAGATAACAGAAAAAGGAACAGATATACTATATGATTATCTTTGAATCCATCCACAGTTTTTTATACAAATTCTACCACCTCCTACCTCACAGACTTAGGGACCCAAATCTTTATGAGCAAGGGCTGCAAGGTCACACTATCCCAAACAGTCAGAGCCGGCACCGGACTCTGTTGTACACAGATAGCAACAGGAAGTACTGCCAATGTGAATTTTTAAATAAGAATCGTCATGAGTAATTTTAGTCCACAAGCTTCATGCAGGAGTTTGAGAAGACTCTTATTCATTGTCCTGGCTTCTTTTAATTTTCTTCAAAGTTCAATTAATTCTCAGAAATTTTTTGCTTTAGCTTTTGATTATCCTCCAGTGCTTCATTTTTGCCCTGATCTTCTGGATTCTTTGCTGTATCAGGATTGTACCGATACAAATACCCATATGGACGGAGATGATAAATCAAATATTCCAAATGATACATAGTCACAGAATCAACATAGTGGAATGAAACTGCTAGATCGGAGCAGCATCCGGGACCCTAAAATACAAAACAAGTCAAAATAATCAGCAAGAATTGCAAAGCATTCCCTGGATTAAAGATCCAAGAAGAACTGAAACACAGACTTCACTTCATGGTAAGAAATTCATTATCACCAGCCATTGACATACTTCAAAACTTAATGTTAGGCAAGCAAAATGTATCAGACATACCTGCCAAAGCATCTTTCAAAAATAAAACTGGACAAAGTCTTTTGCTTCTGTAAACAAGCCAGTGAAAAAACTATCTGCTCTCATTAATGTCAGAGGTTTTTTGCTTTTCTATACTTTTTTTCTGCTGGTGTTTAAACAAAACCAAGAAGCAGCAAGCAGGTCTAAATGCATTGCATTTATATATAAAACAATACATGCTTGTTATTCATTACCACATCCATCCAGAGCATATAAGTTAAATGTGCATATGCACCTGTGTGTGTGTGTTCACACATTATACAGCTTTGAGAGCGCTCTTCTGGAAGATGGGTTTGTTTTTGGGACAGGATCAAATATGTCATTTCCATTATGGATCCTCACCACCACTGCATCAGTTATAGATGTAACTGTCCACAGCTCAGCCATCTGTCAACTGCAACCATAGCTAACACTGTTGCATCCTGACACAGTAAATACAGTATCGTAGCTGTTTTAAGCTACAGAAATGCTCTAGCTGATGAATAGAAGTATAAAAATAGATGCTTTACAATGAAAAGAGTCTACTGAAGAACTAGACTATTCTTTCCAGTTTTACTGTGTAAAAAATCCCACATCCTATCCTTGATTTTGGCTACTTATGCTAATCTCAAAGCTTGCTAAAAAGAACACCTTTAAAAGTGATATTATAATCCTAAAAAAGAAGCCACATCAAAGATTATATGATCATCGAAGTTTGCAATGCAGAATACCTTCAGATCACTTTGATGTCAAGTAGTGCTCTGCTCCTCTTTTTTTTAAACCAGAGATTTCAGATGTGGAATACAAAGGACAATCTGAAGCTCTTGCAGTAAGAATGTTTGGGTCACTAGGCAAAGTTTATTCTTCTGTAATCTTTTCAACGGAATTCACTTACATGTACATTTTAACAGCCTTCCATAAAAAAGTGAGGGCAGGGCAGCTACCAATGTTCACGCCAGGTAACATTGAGCACAGCTATCAGTGATAAGGGAAGTATATTGCAACACATCTCCATTTGAAATATAGGCAGTACAGTCACGCATACCATTACCCATCAGCCCCTCTTGGGAATCTCTTAGCCAATGTTAACCAACTACAATCATGAGCGAGTCTCAAAATTACTTCTATTTCTACACGTTTTAGGCAAAGTTTGCTGTCGGGAAGAAGACAAACGTGTACCAGTGTCACCTCCCCTTTCAGTAGGCTTCAATGTAACTAAGCCGTACTGTTTGAGCTGGCTCTGCACAGTCAGCACCCACAGCTTGGAATGCACCACACTGGCCTGGCTTCTCACTGCACACTGGGAGCTGGGGGGCTGGAGGGGAAGCCAGGGACAGTGCCTGTGAGATATGAGGGAACAAAACAGAACAACTTTGCAAGGAAGGTAGTAGTGGTGACACTAAACAAACGTGTCAAAAAGGCTTCATTTTTTTTTTGCTGTCCACAGAACATAACAAAATTGCAATAATAATTTAAGATTCAGTAGCTCTTCTCAAACATTGAGCTCTTAGCATCAACTTCTATTTGACGACTAGTGTATTTAACACACCTATGCACAGGATATTACAACAAAATCTTTTCTAAAATATATTGAGCTGCTCTTGAACTGCTAAATCACACATCATACACACATATACACATCATAAGATATATTTCATAAAATGGGTACCAGATTCCTAAGGACTTACCTCTACAGCAGGATAATAATTGTAATTCCAGTACCAGAATGTTTTTGGTAGGTATCCTCTGATTAAGAGATGTTCTGGAACAAAGGGATGAAAGGTTTCTCTACCATTTGTATCTCTAGAATCGCCTGCTTCCACATTAATGACCTCCATGCATTTTCCTAGTGCTAGGTCTTCAATTGAGGAACTGTGAGAGCACTTGTTCATTTTAAATGCAGTAACAAATCTCTTCAGAGCTTCTTTGCTCAGAACATATCCTGCTCCTCCACTCATGTAGCCCTGTTTCACATAAGGCTTAAACCTTCTTCCAAAATATATTGGTTGTTCAGGACTGTATTTTGAAAGAAGCCATCTCAAATTGTCCAATATAACATATGTATCATCATCTGCTTTCATAAACCAATCAGCATCATCAAAATAATGGTCATATACATATTGAAAAGCTTTAATAGTCTTCCAGTACAGTTGGTCCCTGCCTTCTTTGGTTTCTAGGCCCACAGCTGGAAAGTCTTTATTCTCCTCAGAGCTCATAAAAAGTATTTTATTACAACGTTGGGCCCAAGTGGCCTTAACGTGCTTGGCTTTCTTTTCTAGATTTTGAGGTCCAGTCATGACCCAGCACAGTATTTTCACCTTCTGATACAGTCCCTCTGCAATATTTTTATTCTCATCTGAAAAAAAGAGGAAAGTTCCAAAACACTGTTAGCCTTGATTGCAAAACAAACATGAAAGAGCAACTTCCCCCCAGACATTCTGCTTCTAGATCAGAAAGGACATGCAGGGAGAGAAGACACATTTGCTTCCAAATGTACCAGTTAATGAAAATAGTGCTAGATTTAGGAAGAAAACAAACAAGACTTCCAAAACCAAGAAAGAAAAATTCTTAAAGCTACTTCAACTTACAGGATAAAGGCAAGCATAAGAGCCATATCAAAATGGGTATATGTTCAGGAAAGGGTGGATTTAAAAAACCTTGATTTGTACATAAAAACTATTTGGGTGCAACTTCTTTATGGTATCGGAGGACTAATGAAAAGCTGAATGTTTTTGCAATTCACTATGAACAGAACTTAATGATGACAACACAGAAAGGTCAAAAAGCTAATAAGCTCTGTTATGTATTTTTATTTTAGCTAACAAGACCTAATAAATATTTATAAAATAGCAACATATTTTTGAAGGAAAAAGCAGATGGTAAGCCAGAAAGAAAGACTTTATCACCAAATACAGTTAAATCTTATTTGTAAAATATCAGATTAAATAAATTAGGGTACTATGAAGCTAGTATTATTGTTGTGCTAAAATGTTTTTATTTGCAGATAATCCAACAGAATAAATACAGCATTTGAGGTGTGTAATATAATGTTTTCCAAACTGACAAGCCTTCATTTCCCTCAAAGAAATATTTTTACTTGATATATATAGAGTGATTTTAACTCATGTAAAAGAATATTCCATGGAGAGCAAGATCTGCATAACTGGCCATAAAATATTCCTGCTTACACTTTAGGCAACAATGGTAACAATTTTCTGCAATTGTTTGTGAAACACTCACAAACTTGTCTTAGAAAGTTTTCAGTTTCAACACATTTAAATAACAAATTACTTACTAATATCTTCAGCAAATGCATTATAGTGCATTTTGTTCTCATCTTAACTGTCCCAACTCAGATGCTATCTGTATTTAGAATCTGGATTTAAAATGAACTCACCTAATGAAATATGTCAAATTTTAAAGTATGCCTGAAATATTGGAAGGGTTTACCTTCTTTGAAAAGAAAAAAAAAAAAAAGAGTGCAATAAAATTTCTTCGATTTTGACTGCAAATAGCAACCTGTGTTTGGACTGCTGCATAATCAGCTTGGCAAAAAATGCCCCAGTGGCCCCCTCTGCTCCCCGGCCCCATCCCAGTTCCAAGTTTTAATAATTGTGTCAAAAAGTTAATTTCTTTCTTTTTTTTTTTCCCCACCTTTATCTGAGAGCCTAGATAAAGAGCTAGATATGGTCCAAAATTAGCTTCTTAAAGCTAAAAAACATTTGCTAGCATTGTAGATGTGGCTAAATTGCATCTGCTTAGCAAAACCACCATTTGATGTCAATAGTTCATTTGAGAAGTTCCTGCTCCAAACAAGTCTGGATACAGAAGGTGGACAAACAGTTGGGCTCTAACGAAAAAAATCACTATTGCAATAAAAAACAGAAACAAAAAAAACCACCATTAAGGAGACCTCAGGAGAACAAAGTTATTTAGACACAACCTGAACATGGGGAAAGAGAAAGAAAAGGATTCATACAAATTCTTGGCAGTGAAGAAAGCAACATTTTTCAGTTCATGAAAAGTGGGCATATTACATAATTAGTCTGGCGTAACAAAATACCTTTATGCTGTCCAGAGTCTGCATTGAAATTCATTTGTCCTTGCAGCTGATTGTTATCGGTATCTGCTGAGTGTTGACCATGTGGATCATTGTGAAGGATATGAGGCTGGATCTTAACCTGTTCTTCTAGTACAATGCTAAACAGAAGATAGCATACGAAAAATCCTATTGCTGATCCAAAAATGAAGGTTAGAAGGTTCATCAAAGACTTAGAAGAGGCCATCTCCTGAAGGTAATACGCTGTCAAAAACAAATGAGAAATACATTAAACTTAAGGCTGCTTAAAACAAGAAATGAAATCTAAAACTATAGGAAGAAAACAAGGACTAAATCTCTGGAAGTACAGACCTCAGTTCTAGCTCAGATTCTGCTCTCCTGGACTTGTATGGAAGTTTAAGTACAAGAGCAATGCAAATATTCATACAAAATTGTACAACTGTTGATAAATTTAGTGCAAAAAGCCTACTATATATTCTTTAGCTTAAAATTATAAAGGATGGTCATAAATCACAATAGTGACGGTATGTACAAGAAACACTCATTATATTCAAACAATATTTATACAAGAATGTGCACTTTTAAAGTTCAATATCTTAATTATAAAATTGTAATATATGTTCACTTTTTTATTGTCTTCATCCCAAGAAATCTGTGCTTTAAAATGGAATATGTAAGTCTTCTACGAAGCTAAAAGATTATGATCAAAGGCAATCTATAGGTCAAAATACAACATAGTCATGAGATGTGCTTACACCCCAGGAGTAAGTATATCACCGTAATTCTTTAACAGATGTCAAAACAGATTTTGAAGAGTTATAAAAGCAAATCTACTCTCAAAGTAGGGAAGTTTTTCTTCCACTTATAGGAAGTAACAAGGATAGACTTTCAGAAGAAAGAATGAAGACAACACCTGCATTTTCAAACAGAAACATCCATTTTTAAAAGGCATTTGGAGGTAGAGGAGAAGAAAACTCATCAGCATCAAGGCCTCTCCTACACATCCAAAACCTTGTACTCCAGTAATAAAAAACACCTTCACTTCCGCCACATCCTTGCTCCTCAAAAACTAAAGGACTTTGCTGACCATTTTTAATGTCAAGGGCCAGAACCCAATCTAGTTAGGGAGCTGTCCCGGTTTTGGCTGGGACAGTTAACTTTCTTCACAGTAGCTACTGAGAGTCTGTGTTTTGGATTTGTACTGAGGAGAAGGCTGATAACATACTGGTGTCTACAGTTGCTGCCAGGACAGTCAAGGACTTTTCAGTTTCTCTGCTTTGTCAGTGTCTGCAGGTGCAGAAGAAGCTGTGGGGAGCACAGCCCCAATTACTAGCCTAGGATTTGATTTTAGGTTTAGGACTGAGACCCGAATTGGCCAATGGTATATTCCATATCATGTACATCATGCACAGTATATAGACGAGGCTCTGTCTGGAAGTACTCTTCTTGCTCCGGGTTGTCTCCCTCTGGGTTGTCCCTCTCTAAGGGTTGTCTCTGTCTCTCAGACACTCAGGACCTTATCTCCATTCTGGGATTGCAGTTTTGGGACTCCCTCTGCTGCGGAATCGTTAGCCAGGAGCAGGCTGAGCCTTGGTCATCAGGTGGTGAGCAATTTCACTGTGCATCACTAACTTATATATTTTGGTTTATTTTACTATTATTATTTTCTATTTTATTGTAGCCCAGTTATTAAACTTTTCTTATCTCAACCCTTGAGTCTTTTTCCCTTTACCCCTTTAATTCTCTGCCCCATGCCCAGGATAGGGCAGGGTGAACAAGTGGTGTGTGGTATTTGGTTGCTGCTAGTTGGGTCAAACCACAACCAGAGTCAAAAAAGGAAAATTATGGAATGTAGAGAGCATCGATGAGAACCATTGACCAGAAAAGAGCTGAAGCCACCAAAACAACTCATTTAGCCTGCACCCACTTCTCTCATTGGCTGTGCAGCATCTATTGGAAAAAGACTGTCTCCACGCAAGCTGCATGAATCACTTTGCAGCAACACGCGCTCCAAATAACAGCTTCCTCACTGTCTGAGCACTCTCCTGAAGGGAAAGCAGAGAGGACAGAAAGCAAGCAAGCATGCATGCATATTGTCAGGTTGGCACTTTCAGAAATCATTAGATTTACTGCATACATACAGATCTAGATCATTTGGGAGCGAAGCAGCTCTAACATGTGACTTACTTTTCTTTCCACGTTGCTAGAAAAAGGAAACTAAACTGGAAACACAACTTGATGCACAAAACAAAAATCAAGAAAATTCATCATAGAATCGCAGAATGGGCTGGGTTGAAAAGGACCTTAAAGATCATCTAGTTTCAACCCCCCTGCTGTGGGCAGGGTTGCCAACCACTAGAGCAGGCTGCCCAGGGCCCCATCCAGCCTGGCCTTGAATGCCTCCAGGGATGGGGCATCCACAACTTCAAACATAAAGATTGATCAAATTCACATAATTATAACTGTAGTTGATAAGGAGCTGTAGTTCTTTAATATGAAAAAGCACATTACAAAATTGTTTTCCCTCAGTTCAGTATATCTTGGTGGAGACTAATGATTGCTTTCAGACATCACATCTTGAAGTATCATTTGTGACCTAGACCTTGAAAAAATCACTTGGTTTCCAGCTTTATTTCTATTGTCTTATATGCCACTAACGGGAAGAAAACATGACTTAGCTGAGGTGCCTTCCAAAAAAAAAAAAAAAAGCAAAACCACCAAAACATTTATGAAGAGCCTATACGCACAAGCAGCCTATGACACTGAAAAGTATCCACTGTAAAAAAATTACTATTTTTTTGTTTTCACTTTCCCCATCTATCACCACAAAGTGACATAAGTAGTCTTTTAACTTGCCAGCAAAAATAACTCAATGCTATAGCATTAGACTAGAACCAGAAAATGTCTAAAAGGAAGGTCAGTTCTTATTATGATAAGCATCTCCAATGAGACTCTTTGTTGACATTCTTTTCTACACAGGGATTCATTCATTCAGGGGCAAGACAAGCAAAACATTTGTGTGCTCAAGGCCAGGTGGGATGAGGCTTTCAGCAATCTGATCTAGTGAAGGATGCCCCTGCTCATGGCAAGGGGCTGGACTAGAAGACTCCACATCCCCAGGTCCAGACAGTGACAAGGCTGAGGATGTATTCCCATAGTTGCACAGTATACATATGGCTGACCATACAGATCAATACAGCTAAAAACAGTGTTCATGCAAACACAAACAGGGCCTGGCCTTATGCTGCTCCTCTCCCTAGCTATCAGGACAAAAGTACATAAGTAGGGATATACACACACACAATGTAGACTCCTCGAGTAACTGGCCTTGGACAGTCTATCCAGGAGCCAACCCTGAATCCTCAGCCTCCCCAGAGCCCCACTCCAGCTGCTGGTACAGAACTCCTCACCCAGATACACACACATGCAGCTCCTTACAGGCATACCATGATCCCCAGCAAACGGCCTTAGACATTCAGTCTAGTCAGTAACCAGCCCTTGGATCTTTTGTCTCCAGTTGCCTTGCTCAGAGACACACATGCAAATGAGCCTCCAAACCTACCCCCAGATCTTACAGTCCCTCCAGTAGCTGTCTTGGATCTCCTGGACTCTCATATTGCCAAACTGAAGACCCTCTGATCCCACTAGTACCTGTCCCACACTTACAGCTGCATCAGAACCTGTCTCCCAAGCCTCTCGTCTTACTCACTGCCTAGCCCTGCATGATATTCACTAGCAACCACACACTGGCATATTTGCCCAGACGATAGGCATGCACTCCAGTCTCCCCAGTTACTGGCACTCCAGACACACAAGCCTCTATGACTTCGGCTTTCCACTCCAGTTGCTGGCATTCAGACCCTCACTCTCCAGCCTCTCCAGCTGCTGGCACACCAGACACAGAGGTCCCTATAACCTACGGTACCACTCCAGCTGCTAGCACCTATACCTCAGCATGCACACATGAATATGGCACGGTGTCCTCTCATACAGGAAAACAGTTAGAAATGGAGTTTAATGAGAAAAGAGTACAGGCTGTGGTAATCTGGCACAGGACATTGCCAAACATACTGATCGGCCACTTGTTTACAATTGACCAAGCCCTTTATCCCCCTATCTTTCTATTTTGCCATACTTGTTCCTCCTCAAGCCACCTTGTTGACTCCCTTTAGTCCCTCCCCTGAGCATCCCATAATAAGCTTTGTACAGTCACAAGATGCTCTCGTCCTGCATCCCATAATATGTCCCATAATCTGTAGGCAGTTACCTCCTCAATCTTGTAAACTGTTCCAGAGAGCCCTTCTGTTGACTTAGCTTGATGCACATCACACCTGGGCAATAGGGCTGATGGCTCTCCAGGGACAGAACCAGGGGCTGCTTCCTCTGATGAGATTAATGCCCCCTGCCCCAAGCTGCTGTGCAGTCCTGGCCATGAGCCTTTTATCACATTAATCTAAAATACTGTTCTCACTCTGCTAGCTGATCCAACAAGGATTAAGGTCATCTTCCTCATTCAAAGCAAACTTAGGGACCACGCAATAGAATATATGATTATGGAGCTTGCCCCATCCCCACCCCTCAAAAAAAAAAACAACCCAATCAACTTTAAAATTAATAATTTAAAGCAAACTCAGACTACATAACTTTTTGAACTTGTTTCAAGAGGAAACACATTCAACAACAACAAAAACCCAAACCGGAGATTTTGAAATTTACAGAATGCAGGACAGAACTCTAGATCTTTTTGTATATGTTTCATCCCAGTATCATTCCATAATCACTTTAAGATTTGATAAATTAACTATGAGAAATATGGCCAGCCTACACAAACAGCTGGCTCTTCCTTCTATCCCTTACTTACAAAGTGACAGGGAGAGCCCTGCAGTCCCAGCATGAAACAGAACATAAACGTCCTTAGGGCCGCATAATTAGCAATGAAATTGATCTCTACTACCACGTCCTTAACAGTCGAACAGCACATCAGAATAATTAAAGTCAAAATGCAGAAAATGCAGTTAGCTGTGCAATGCCCAGGAAAGGTCTTCTGCTCCCTAAGTCCCATTGTTTCTAGAAGCTTTATACGTACATATTCACGTGTTTCTAAAATGAAGCTCTTTGAAAAACAGAGGTACATTTGCTAATGTTGCCTGCCTCAAGGATTCCTGTGAACTGCTGCAGTTTCCTATCAACTAAGCAGGGGCTATATATTTTACTTCCAAAGATATTTCGGGTTGTTTTT